TAGATTTATATATATGTGTGTGTGTTTAAAAAGAGATGGAGAAAGGAAAAATCATCCATAATTGAACAAATTAGATTTACATGCAAAAAAAACTAGCCTAAAACTCACCCTTTAACTGAACAAGATGGATTTTCACAGTTTTATATGCATTTATATGTCAGAGAGAAAAAATACAAATAAGCACAACAAAAATCATCCAAACTAAAAACTAAACAGAACCAACAGAGTCTCTCGACTCATACAGGAGATCTACATAAAGCTTTTTGGATTTAGGATTTCTTATTGCTACGTCCGAGTCGCACACCGACTCTACGGCAAGTCGGAGGAGCCACAACACAAACCATCACTTCCTCTCAACACCTCTGCAGCATAAATGTGATACTTTAATACATGGCTTTCTTCTCACTGTGGAAACTAAACTCACACTCACACACCTGGGCTCCAAATAAATACATTTAAAAACAGTCCACGTGCATTCGAATGGAAGTCCAGTATTCATATGGCCGTGCACGCACGCACGCACACACACACACACACACACACCAACACAGACACACACACACACAGACAATCGCACATATTCCCGAGGAGGAGGACAAACACAAGATAATTCAGAGGGAAAGTTTCTTCAGCCAAAATAAAGATCAATTCATTTCAGGTTAAGACTCAGCGAACAAGTCGTTTCAACAACTTTAGCTCCAGTTTGGTTTGAAGTTTCTCGTGATTACAAGTTAATAATGTTTCCATCGAAGCTTCAAGGTCAGGTCGCTAAACGGCAAAATTTTGTGTTATAGAACAATCATTCTGAAAATGTTTCTTCTTCAGGTCCACCTGAACTTTTAGAGAATTTTAATTAGCTCCATTAACCAACAGCAAAATGTTCTGTTGGTGCCGTAACGGATCCAGAATGGAGGAAGCTAACATAGCTTAGCATAGCATGGCCCTCTTATTCCCATTTTAAGTTCTCAGGTTTTAGACGATAGTATAAAAATATTACTTAAAATTCTTGCTCCTGTGAAGTTCTTGGATCCAGTCGACTCCAAAGAAACACAAACTCATTCTGCAGCAAGAAAAATATTCTTATCATTTCCAGTTCCACTGCAACTTTTTCTCTCGTGAGTTGCACCGACTTGAACGAACTTCGTTAACCACTGACCAAGTGTTAGAGGGGAGAATTCTGCGGATTTTGACTTTTTGGAATTCGAGGGAAACTTTGGAAGAGACAAAGAAAAACAGGACAAAGGATAATTTAAAGAAACTGATATTTGATCCGCAGTCGATTAATCATTCAAAGGTAAAACATCCGAATTTTATGTGTCTTTAGTCCTGATCCTTGGACAAAATCAACCGGCGAACACGGGTGGACACGGACGTTGAGTTCGGACTGAAGGTAACTCTCTCTCTTGATTGTGTCACAATATTCCACTGTAGTAAAGTAGAAGTAGTAGAAGTAGTTGTAGTAGTAGTTTGGAAGTGTTAGTGCCAGTTTACAGCAGCGTCCAGTCACCGTCTGGTTGCTAAGTATTTTTCTTTTGGACCGACTGTCCGTCGCGGCCTTACAGTTTCATTACGAGCCGCTGAGGTTGGTATGTTTTGCTTATGAGGTCGATACTTGATATAAAAATAAACAGAGACGAAAACGTGCGAATAGAAAAATTTGCACTGTTCATCTTCACGTGACACAAACACACGAAGTCATGATCAGTGATCACGCCGCTGGCTGTAGATATGTCGGGTTGGAGGTTCAGAACTTTTACTTGTTTGAGGAAATATCGTCCCGGAACATTTTATAAATCTCACGTCCACCCGTCATCTACCTCATCCCGGAAATCACACCAACTGAAGGTTTGATTCATTTCTTTAAATCCGTTTTTAATTGGAAAAATACGACAGATTGTCTCCGATGCTAAATAAATGAAATTTTTTTAATGTTTTCTTTTTATCAGCTGTTTCAGCTCATCTCTGAAAAACAAGGAATCGTGCTAACGTCGTCCTGGACCAACTAAAGAAACTGGTAATACTGGAAGGTTAGCTGGGTCTGCTTTTAGCTTCTATTAATGCAGCATTAGCCTAGTTAGCTAGTCCTCGCTGGTCAGTTAGCTGAAGCACATGTGCTGCTTTTAGTAGATTTTAAAGGACCCAAAACAAGCTAACAAGCTAACGATTAGTGCTAGCGACGCTAAGCATACCAAACGAGTTAACTGCATTAGGCTAGTGTTAGCTTGGTTGTCTTGTCTAGCAGTTGAACGAAGCTCAGGCTAACAATAAGAGCTAATGAGTGCTAGCTAACGTGTTTAAGAAATTAACCCAGTGAAGGCCTCAGCAGGTGGGTTAGCACGGTCCTACAAATTAGCCCTGGTTAGCATCAGTTTAACCCCTTTTATTAGGAGTTGTGAATATCTAGCAAATGTTAAGGTTAATTGCATAAACTGTGCTAGCGATGACTTAGCCCTTTTTAATTTTGATTTGACGCTGCAGTTGACACTAGTTCTGTTCAGTTACAACTCAGACGTTAACCAAAGTTAGCCGTGTCTGAAGACATGGCTAGCTCTGGCCCACAGTGGAAACCAGGCTAGCACAGAAGTAGCTGTGCTAGCCTGTTGAGGAAGACACAGGATTTGAAGGCTGCGATGCTCGTCCATTCTGTTCGTGGTCGCAGTTAAAAGCAGAGATTGAGGTAAACTGAACCACATCTGAGGCCCTGTAATAAACCCTACGTGAACACTAGGGGGCGACGATGAGACACAGGTGGGAGTCGCACACATACACAACAAAACTTTTGATTTGTTCAGTAATAAAAAAATATCCACAAAACACAAGAATTCCCATCCCTACGCTGAAGATCACTGATAATCACACACACCTCACGTGCACACGTTCAACATGGAATCAACTGAGAATGATTAGGAAAGAGAAAATATCATCACAAACCAAAGGGAGACGTCGAGGGATCAATAGTGTGATGGATTAAAAAAACCACCAAGAACAAAATGATCAACACAATTTTCTTTCACACTGAATCTGACTTTGTCAAGTTCATGAATGTTTTGTGTGATTTGCCGAGAGACGGGGAACTGGTGCGGAGGAACGACGGCGACGAGGCAGCGGCCGTTCTGCGATTTCCAGTTACAAAAGACGTCGTTGGCCACATGGAGGGAAACGACGTCACCTCCACGTTTGATTTTATCCAGAAATATGTGAACAGAAGTGACTGATGAAGTTTGAATTCTGAAAAGCTGCTGACGGACCAAAGAATAGAGTCAAGTTCCCGCCCGGACGAGTTCTTTCAAATCCAAACAGGTTCATCTGTGAAAATAAGATTGTTCAGTCTCTGATGTGATTTAAATACAGACGAGACACAGACAGTCCGTCTCCGTCTGTCACTCTGCGTCTCCTACGTTGATCATAAATTCTCAAACAGAATCTAGAACAATAATAATCGTAACTTTATTCTTTTTATTGCTGAAATATAGATTCCCCGCACAAAAAATATTAATGCAAATCATTGTCATCATAAAAAGCTATAAAAATTAGATCCATCCTCCGTAATAATGCAGATAAAGATATAGCAAAGAACATCATAGAAGTAGGACTAGTAGTAAGGCACTTCAAGAAAACGAGGTTTTCGTCTTTCTGTCAAAAATAGTTTTCTGGGCTGGTTTTTGCATCATCATCATCATCAGTGACGGTAAATGTAGCGCGTTTCCGTCGTATGGCACTGTGGTGACGTTCAGGCAGCTGAGGAGGTTTCTTCTCAGTCGACCCCGACAAGAGGAGGCTCTCCGTTGGGCAGGATGTGCTCCAGTGACGGCTTGGTGTGGATCTCCAGCAGCCCCTGGATGGCTCCCTCTGCAGTCTTGGCTGTTGTGGCTCCTCCTGGTGGAGAGCTGGAGGAGGAGGGAGCAGGGTCTTTGGAGGGGTTTGAGTCCGGGGTTGATTTCTGGTCGCTGTCCGAAGAGTTGTCACTCGTACTTGTCTTTGTGTCAGTGGCCGGTTGACTGGGAGTTGCATCTGTGTCGGGTTGTTGCGTCGCAGAGTCGACACAAAGTTCAGATTTGTTCTCTGTGTCCGGGTCCTCAGAGGAAACCACGGTGATCGGCTCTGAATCCGCACAAGGATTTTCCTCAGATTCTGCTCCGTCACCAGCCTCCTCCTCGCCTTTGACGTCGTCCTCCTCCAGCTCCTTGGCGGCGCTGCTCCCACACTCGCTCTCATTCTCTGAGGGCGGGCAGGTGGATGTCGGAGTCGGGGTGCAAGAGTCTCCGTCCTCACTGGCGTCGTCGTTTGCAGCCGAGGATCCGTCGGCTCCACGGGGCTTCAGGTGGATCCTTTGGTGACGAACCAGACTGTGCTTCAGCGTGAACGTCCTCTCGCATGTTTGACACTGGTACGGCCGCTCGCCTGCAGACGGAGAATTCAACTTTACTGACATTACTCATTGACTTTGACTAAATAACAGACAAAAGAGAAGTTTAAATTTCAATCTTAAACACATTTTCATTTAACCTGAAAATGTGTATTTGTTACCTGTGTGCGACCTCATATGTCTCGTCAGGTCTTGTAGGGACCAGAATCTTTTTCCGCAGACGTTACAGATCTTCTTCCTCTTGTCCACTCGTCCTCCGCTCGTCTCTCCTCCCTCCAGACTCTTTGGTTCTGATGTTTCTTCATCGCTCCTCTCCTCCTTCTCCTTTTCCTCCTCTTCCTCGGACTCCCCGCTCTCCCCGGCCTCGCTCTCAACTCGTCCTCCGTCCTCCACGTCCATCTCCGTCTCCTTCATCTCCTCCTCTTCGTCTTTATCATCTTTCTCCTCTTCAGCCGGTTTGGTGGTGTTGCTCTCCGTCACCACATCCGTCAGCGCCGTCTCTTCAACCGGTGCCAAAATTGGTGTCTCCTCTGAGAGGTGCGCCCTCTCGTGGCGGGCGAGGGTGGTGGCATAACGGAAACTCTTCTTGCAAACCCGACATACATGTTTGTACTCCGGCTGCTGCTTCACCACAGGACCAGAGGAGGAAGAGGAGGCTGCAGCTTTTTTCTCTTTCTCCTCCGTCTCTGGACCCTCGGATGCCCCCTGCGGAGCAGAGGTGGACGATGGCACAGAGGAAGATGAAGAGGAGGTGGGCTGGGAGCTCTGTTCTTCCTGGGCGGAGCCTGAAGACGAGGAGAGCTTAAAGTCGATGAGCTTTTTACCGAAGTTCAGGTCCAGACTTTTGTTGCTGTGGCAGTCGTCGTCATCTGTGCTCTCCGCCTGTAAGAGACATCAGTGATCAACAAAAGCAATAATATATATAGACTTATATTATTATATTATAACAGTAACAAACAGATCAATGATGGTTTGTTACCTTGGTGCTGCAGCTCAGTGGAGGCTGTTTTCTCTGAGCTGCTCTGGTCTCTGGCGCCCCCTGCTGGTCCGGCTGCTCTGCCGTTTCTGTCTCCAGCTGCTCTTCATCGTTTTCAGCTGAACTGAAACCTGCAGCACAAACCAACCATCAGCATCACCAGCAAACTGAGCAATAATAAAATACACAACTATACAATTGCAACTAAATAAGAAGCGACTGACGAGACAACATCAAAGTTGCATTTATTATTTAAAATAAACTTTTCGTGCTGGGAACAACTGAGAGGAGAAGGTGAGAAAAATAGAAGTCAATAGAAATAAAATCTGATCCTCGAGACGTCAAATGACGACGCTGCCGTTCACTGAACCACATGGTAACCAGGCAACCGCCTCGACAACACATTTCAAGAACAATTCAGAATAATTCTTCATGAGCAGCTTTAATCCACCAAAACGTTTGGGCTCCAGTTCCCGATTCTTTAAATTAAAGCCAAACTGAGCTGAACGACGAAAGAGCAGAAAATATAATGAAAATTATTATTTTAAATGTTAATGAAATGAATTCTTTTCTCAACTACCAACTAATTAATCTGAACAATTGTAAACAAAAAGAAAAGAAAAACCACGAAGGGTAAAATAAACTAAATTTCTAAAATCGACTTACTTGGTGTAGGGGAGGGGCTTGAATGGGTGAACTCCACCTCTTGTTCAAGTGGGGAGGGGCTCTCTGGGGTGGGGCCTAGATCCGTGGGGGTGTTGACAGCGCTGAGGTCTTGTGCTTCTGCTGTGACCTGCTCCGTCTCTGACTGACTCTCTGAGGGACAACACAATCAACACATCAACCAGTGGTTCCCAATCTGGGGTTCAAGGCCTTTAAAATACGTCACAAGATGAATGGAAACGTGGGTTTGAATTTTTAAAACTTTAAAAACTTTAAATCTGGCATTTTCTGACCTGCGCTCTCGTGCGAGCCTTCATCGCCGTCCTTCTTCGAGAGGGAGCCGTTGCGTCGCAGCGTCCTGTGTGTCACACCGTGCTTCCTCAGCAGGTGGCGCTCACAGTTGGATTTGGTGGAGAAGAAGGCGTCGCACTTTGGACACGGGAACGGTTTCTGACCTGAAGAAGGAAAAATGAAGGATCTGGATGAGGAGAAAACATCTGGACGAACACGTCCCTGTCCATGATTGGCTGATAATTGACCTGTGTGTGTGTGTGTGTGTGTGTGT